ACAGACAAAAATCAGAGGATACAACTGACGATTTACTATAAAACCAGAAAAACGGCCAGCCTACTCATGAGAAACTCTCCAGACACAAAGCAGAACGCTTTAAAAGAGACCAACGTCGTCTATGCCTTCAAATGCCCACTTGGGGACTGTAAGCTCCAAAAAACCCAGTATATAGGCAAGACAACAACATCTCTTTCTAGGCGTTTAACGATGCATAAGCAACAGGGCTCCATTAAGGAACATATAATCTCTTCCCACAACCAAACCATCGCCAGAGAAATCCTAGTAAACAACACAGAAATCATCGATAGATACAGCGATAGCAGACGGCTTGACGTTTGCGAGGCACTGCACATTAAGAAGTCAACACCAGCAATCAACAGCCAATTAATGCACAACTATATTCTACCCACCTCAAGACTCCGCTCCAATATAGAAGCATCAATAAATATGGACCAATAGGCTTTCTACAATCACTTCCATTTCAATACCCATTGTTTCGTGTTCTGTTGATTGATTGATTGATAAAGATTAAGCCACCCAAAAGGTGGCACGGGCATGAATAGCCCGTAAGTGGTGGCCCTTTTGAGCCATTACCAGTATCAAGAGCTGATACTGGAGATCTGTGGAGGTGCGAATGCACCCTGCGTGACGGGAGATGTCTCCTTTGTGAATGTGTTAAGATGAAGATGAAGCCACCCAAAAGGTGGCACGGGCATGAATAGCTCGTAAGTGGTGGCCCTTTTGAGCCATTACCAGTATCAATAGATGATACTGGAGATCTGTGGAGGCGCGACTGCACCCTGCGTGACGGGAGATGTCTCCCTTGTGAATGTGTTAAGATGAAGATGAAGCCACCCAAACGGTGGCACGGGCATGATTAGCTCGTAAGTGGTGGCCCTTTTGAGCCATCACCAGTATCAATAGATGATACTGGAGATCTGTGGAGGCGCGACTGCACCCTGCGTGACGGGAGATGTCTCCCGGACCAAGTGGTGACAAGTGATGAACTCGAACTCCATGATTTACCGATGTCCATGATTTACTGCACGTCGTCGTCGATGAACACTGGTCGGTAGATTGATTGATTGATAAAGATTAAGCCACCCGTGTTCTGTCTTGTGTTGATGAAATTAATACCCTATTTAATACCACCTCACCCCATCCACCTCACTCAAATGTAGATATAAACAAATCGGAGATATGTAAGTTCTATTCAGTTGTGTATGTGTAAAGTCTTTGAAAATGTAATAAGTTTTACGAAACGCGCTCAAGTGTCGCGTCAGACTAGAAATAAAAATGAATTTTGGAGAATTGAGAGAATTGTATATATATTTATATATATATATATATAAATATATATATATATATATATATATATATATATATATATATATATATATATATATATATATATATATATATATATATATTTGAGTTTTCATTCGCATATAGTCCTGGGGACCATTCAGGCTTGTTCGCATTTGTGTTCCTCACGTGTGCCCCAAAGAATGAGTGATTTGGTGAAATGCTATGCCCAAGATTACCAACCGAGTTGCCGTCGGGGAAGTGGCTCAAATAGCCTCGGCTATCACTTCCTTTTGACGGCCGTGATGGTCAAGCGGATTAAGGCGCCCTGTAGTTACCAGTTGCGTTGCTTCTGGGAGTATGGGTTCGAGTCACTTCTGGGGTGTGAGTTTTCATTCGCATATAGTCCTGGGGACCATTCAGGCTTGTTCGCATTTGTGTTCCTCACGTGTGCCCCAAAGAATGAGGTGATTTGGTGAAATGCTATGCCCAAGATTACCATCCGAGTTGCCGTCGGGGAAGTGGCTCAAATAGCCTCGGCTATCACTTCCTTTTGACGGCCGTGATGGTCAAGCGGATTAAGGCGCCCTGTAGTTACCAGTTGCGTTGCTTCTGGGAGTATGGGTTCGAGTCACTTCTGGGGTGTGAGTTTTCATTCGCATATAGTCCTTGGGACCATTCAGGCTTGTTCGCATATATATAAATATATATATATATATATATATATATATATATATATATATATATATATATATATATATATAAATATATATATATATATATATATATATATATATATATATATATATATATATATATATGCGAACAAGCCTGAATGGTCCCAAGGACTATATGCGAATGAAAACTCACACCCCAGAAGTGACTCGAACCCATACTCCCAGAAGCAACGCAACTGGTAACTACAGGGCGCCTTAATCCGCTTGACCATCACGGCCGTCAAAAGGAAGTGATAGCCGAGGCTATTTGAGCCACTTCCCCGACGGCAACTCGGATGGTAATCTTGGGCATAGCATTTCACCAAATCACCTCATTCTTTGGGGCACACGTGAGGAACACAAATGCGAACAAGCCTGAATGGTCCCCAGGACTATATGCGAATGAAAACTCACACCCCAGAAGTGACTCGAACCCATACTCCCAGAAGCAACGCAACTGGTAACTACAGGGCGCCTTAATCCGCTTGACCATCACGGCCGTCAAAAGGAAGTGATAGCCGAGGCTATTTGAGCCACTTCCTCGGCTATCACTTTGAGCCTCGGCTATCACTTCCTTTTTACGGCCGTGATGGTCAAGCGGATTAAGGCGCCCTGTAGTTACCAGTTGCGTTGCTTCTGGGAGTATGGGTTCGAGTCACTTCTGGGGTGTGAGTTTTCATTCATATATACATATATATATATATACATATATATATAGATATATTAGTTGCCGAGCCGAGTGTTCGTTGGTCATGAGAACTGTGCCAATCCTTCGTCTTCAGTTGCTGCGTGAATGACGTCGATTACGGAATTGGAATTACACTAGCTTCAGGACACTGCTGTTATCTTCCAGATAATGTACTTCTTTCTCGCTGGTGTAAGAGCGAGCAAGAGACGTTCCTCGAGAGAGAGAGAGACTTACCAAGATGGCTGCTGTCGCTTCTCTCTCTCTCTTCCTGAACACGCTGTTAATGGCGTCTCTCCTTTTTTACTCACCTGGATACACATGCGCAGTACGTTCCATAGGAATCCCGAGCGTAAAGCTATTTACTTACTCGTAATTAATTAGGGAAGTAAGGAGTTATAATCAATATTAATGTTATAAATAAATATGATATATCATAATACCACTTCTCGTAAGGCAATTTGTTTAATTAAAACTGCACGAAATAAACGAGAAGGGTTTGTTATAGAATTATGTCACGTTACAATAATATCTGCTAGAGTAATCAATTTGATTAAATGAGTGAGCTCAGTAAGCAGTTATATGCCAAATAAGCAAACTCTTTCATAAAAGATTATCTGTAAAAAGGGAAAGTAAATAACTGGACTTGGTAAAATTCCCATAATATGGGGAATATTTCATGTTTCAGCCTGACAACATCACGGCGTCATGGAGACTAAAAAGGATTTGGCAGGATATTGCGCAGTATGAAAATATTAGTATAGTTAATTCAACAAGTTAGTAATTTTAGTAACTACTTGTTGTTAATATAAAGATGTTGTACTAAATTACAAAATGATGAATGAAAGCTGTTGGTTATTTCCAACAGTGTTATGTTTGTTGGAGGAGTTATCTTTGTTGGTAGTGTTATGTTTGTTGTTGGTGTTATGTTTGTTGTTGGTGTTATGTTTGTTGCTGGTGTTATTTTTGCTGGTGGTGTTATTTTTGTTGGTGGAGTTATCTTTGATGGTGAGTTTATGTTTGTTGTTGGTGTTATGTTCGTTGGTGGTGTTATTTTTGTTGGTGGTGTTATTTTTGTTGGTGGAGTTATCTTTGATGGTGAGTTTATGTTTGTTGTTGGTGTTATGTTCGTTGGTGGTGTTATTTTTGTTGGTGGTGTTATCTTTGTTGGTGGTTTTAGCTTTGTCAGTTGGTGTTATCTTTGTTGGCGGTATTATCTTTGTTGTTGGTGTTATGTTTGTTGGTGGTGTTATGTTTGTTAGTGGTGTTATGTTTGTTGGTCGTGTTATCTTCGTTCGTGGTGTTGTAGACACGCAAGTCTCATGTCTACACCTAGTTTCCTCATGCAAGTCAACAAGCAGTTCCTTAATTAAAAGATAACCCCTTTTCATTTAATTTCCACATTAACGTAAAGCTTATCCCTCCTTTTCATATAATTGGGGATAGAATTTCATGGTACGCTTAATTGATGGTATCCTTCCATCAATTGGGAGATTTACTCAGACCTAGCATGTGGTGGCGGCGAATATTCAGAGTTGGCAGTTTAACCTAGAGGATACAGTGTCTCTGAGTTCGTGATATCTAAATGGTCAAACGTTTAGATCTCGAGAGATTGTACTGAAGGTAATTCAGCTGAACTCTGATTTCTGTATATATATTTCTTTAATTTGTCTTCATAACGACCAGCATTTAACCAGTAGTGAGGTTTAAGGTTGGCCCCTGTTACATTATCTTTGTTGGTGGTGTTATCTTTCTTGCTGGTGTTATCTTTGTTGGTGGTGTTATCTTTTTTGGTTGTGTTATGTTTGTGCTGCAGATGTTGATATCATTGTTGGTGATGTTATCATTGTTGGTGGCGTTTTGTTTGTTGTTGGCGTTATTTTTTTTTCGTTGTGTTACGTTTGTTCTGTGGGTGATGTTGTCTTTGTTGGTAGCGTTTTGTTTGTTGTTGGTGTTATTTTTTTGGTTGTGTTACGTTTGTTCAGTGGGTGGTGTTATCTTTGTTGGTGGTGTTATCTCTGTTGGCGGTGTTTTGTTTGTGCTGTAGGTGTTGATATCTTTGGTAGTGGTGTTATGTTGGGTGTTTGTGTTGAGTTTGTTTGTGGCGTTATCTATATTGATGGTGTTATCTTTGTGACGTTTATGGTGTTATCTTTGTTAGTGATGTTATCTTTCTAGGTGTTATCTTTGTTGGTTGTGTTATGTTTGTGCTGTAGATGATTTTATCTCTGTTGGTGTTATCTCTTTTGGTGGTGTTCTTTTCATTATGGGTATGATCTTTGTTTATTGTGTTATGTTTGAGCTGTAGGTTGTGTTAGCTTTGTTGGCATTGTCTTTGTGTTGTAGGTGGTGTTATCTTTGTTGGTGGGTTTATCTTTGTTGGTGGTGTTATCTTTGTTGGTGGGTTTATCTTTGTTGGTGGTGTTATCTTTGTTGGTGGGGTTATCTTTGTTGGTGGGGTTATCTTTGTTGGTGGTGTTATCTTTGTTGGTGGGGTTATCTTTGTTGGTGGTGTTATCTTTGTTGGTGGGTTTATCTTTGTTGGTGGTGTTATCTTTGTTGGTGGGGTTATCTTTGTTGGTGGGGTTATCTTTGTTGGTGGTGTTATCTTTGTTGGTGGGTTTATCTTTGTTGGTGGTGTTATCTTTGTTGGTGGGTTTATCTTTGTTGGTGGTGTTATCTCTGTTGTGAGTGTAATCTTTGTTTGTGTTATCTCTGTTGGAGGTGTTATCTTAGTTATGGGCATTATGTTTTTTGGTGTGTTTTTTTTTTTTGCAGGGATATTCCTGCGCGGGCCCTAAGCCTCTGGCTGGCCCACTAAATGTTGCTTGATTCTGTTTTACTTGGGCGGAGTATGAGTATTTATGACTCGTATGGTCGCTTCAGTAAGATTTTGCCATATGTGTTTTAACAACTTCTTCTGCTTTGTTGAATCTAAGTTGAAATCTTAATGGGTTTGTAACTGTGCACTGTGTTAGATAATGTTACAGTGGTCTGTCGGGCATTTCTCCACAGTGCTGACATTTCCTCTCATATTCCGAAACCTGTAAGCCTATTTCCCATGCACATGGGTATCCAAGCCTGATGCGATGTAAGTGTACTTCTGTTGCTCTACTGTTCCCTTTCATCAAACTAAGTGGTTCATGGTTTGTTGAATTCTTGTACCAACCCGCAGATCCTGATGTTGCAACTGCTGTGTTGTGGTCTGTTATAATTAATTGTGGTGTGGTGGGCTTGCTATGGGGGAACTGGTACTATTAAGGGGTAAGGGTAGTTAAAAGACAGAGTTATCAACTATGGGAGAGCTAAAAGGCCCAGCCCCCAAAATAAACTATCCACAGTAATAATACCTTGCTACTAGACCATATATGTCAGTCTAAGGGTTGATCAATGCACTCCCACACAGGAAGAAGGGATACTCCTATAATTCATGTACTTATTTATTAACCCCTTAACGGCCCCCCCATATACATTCACACCAATAACAATAATAATAATAACTTTACCACACTACCTTACGTTAAAAGCCTTGGTCCACATAAACAGGATACAAGGTTTTACACAGAGCACAAGCTAGGGTAAAGCTCTACTATTGAATAACTTGAAGTTAGAGTCAGCTTAGGGTAGGGGACCACGTGGTTCCAATGGGACCCCCTTTTGAATAACTAGTAATATAAACCCTAAAAACACCTACTACACATAAAATAGACTACTCTACACATAGAACATAAGTATGCTAGAAATTGAATAATGTACACAGTATATACTTAGCTTGAACAAGACACAGAAATAAGGAAAGGAGGAGGAAGGAGAGAGGGTTCCTTTCACCACAGCCAGCCAGCAGAGAAGACCCGACTCTTGCCATCTCTTCTCCAGCTCACTCGCTGCCAGTAGACTGCTCAACTAATCGTACAGCAGTCCTACCCCAAGTTTAGTTGGTGCCTATGTTATTATTTAATAATCAACCCCCAGCTCAGTCTTTAAATGCTCTTTGAGAAACAAGAACAGTCTTACGTCTGGCAGGGAAGATACAAACAAAGACACATCGGGTTGCGATTTCCTACTCTAACGTAGCTTAATTAGTAAAATTTTGACCTCTGGTTTCCACTGAAGAACCCAGGGTCGTAACACTCCTCCCCCCTTCAGAGAAGAAAAAAAATGTGACTACTAGAATAGTAGTCATATTTTTTTTGTAAGAGTATACAGAGAATAAAAAGAAAAATATGACAAAAAAAATTAATCAAAAACAACAATTTCTCTGCAAGAAAAATACAAAGGAGTTCTCTGAAAGAAAAAAAAACATACACAAAAAAACAGGGAAGTAAATAATTTGGACACGGAATATTTAATGTCACAGGAGAACCTAAAAAAAAATAACTAAAGCATGACAGTTGGTAAATGGCTTCCTGTGGCTCAGATGAATGTTATTCAGGCAACCTGGACAGAGCGTCGGCCATCACGTTGAGTCGGCCCGGTAGGTGGGTAATGGAAAGATTGAAGTCCTGTAGGTACAACGCCCACCTGAGGATGCGTTTATTCTTACCCTTCATCTGAGTCAGGAAGACTAGTGGGTTATGGTCCGTGTACACTTCCACTATATTACCTGTGAGGTAAACTTCAAACTTTTTACATGTTAACACTAGCGCCAACGCCTCTTTTTCTACCACTGAATAATTGCGTTGCGCCTTGTCGAATTTCACAGAGTAATAATATACTGGGTGTTCCACTTGATCATCCCCAGTTTGCAACAACACTGCACCAGCACCCGAGTCAGACGCGTCCACATGAATTTTAAACGGTCGATCGAACCTTGGACTAGCAAGCACTGGGGCGGAAGCTAAGATCAATTTCAAATTTTTAAATGCCTCTGCACAGTCTGATGACCACTTAAATTTAATGGCTTTCCACATCAAGTCTGTGAGAGGAGTGGCAACACTGGAAAAGTTCTGACAAAAGCGTCGATAGTACGCACACATACCGATAAATCTTTGAACGTCCTTTTTAGACTTTTGTACTGGATACTCCAGAATGGCACTGATTTTATCTTGCCGAGGTAACACTTTTTCTTGGCCCACTTCATAACCGAGGTACGTCACTGTGCCTTGGCCAAAATGACACTTTTTAGCATTTAAGGTAAGATTTGCCCTTTTCAAGATTGCAAACAACTGGCATAACCTAGCTATGTGGTCAGCCCAATTACTGTCAAAGAGCACGATATCATCTAAATACGTCCGACAATTTGGCACATTAGCGAGCAGAGAGTTCATTAGCCTCTGGAACGTGGCAGGGGCAATACGCAAGGCGAATGGTAACACTTGATACTCAAAAACACCCTCGGGTGTCACGAACGCAGTTAGTTGTTTAGCACGTTCAGTGAGTGGGATTTGATAATACCCCCTCGAGAGGTCGAATTTCGAGATGTACTTGGCGTTTCCCAGCTCGTCGATGCAGTCCTCGAGGAGGGGCAGCGGATAGGCATCCACAATGGTCACCTTGTTGAGCTGCCGATAGTCGGTACATAATCGCCAGGAGCTGTCTGCTTTGGGGACCGAAAGGCAAGGCGAGCACCAAGAGCCCTGGCTCGGCCGGATGAGGCAGTGCTGGAGCAAGAAGTCGACCTCCTTCCATACAATGGCCTTCTTTTCTGGACTCATCCGATAGGGTTGAAGGCGAATGGGAGTGTAGTCCGTCAACTCGACATCATGGCAAATGGCATCAGTCTGGGTCGGGACCTCCCCGAACAGACTGGAGAATTCATCAACCAACGACTGCACCTCTTCATGTTGGGCCATCTGCAAATGGGACAGTCCCTCCTCCACAGCATTCACAGAACTAGAATTATTGAAGATGAGATTAGTTGGGTCCCCAGAACAATCATCCCCTCCCTCACTGGAAATGGAAACATTGGTTAGTGCAATGGGCCTGGGGCCCTGGAACTTCTTCAGCCGATTTACATGTACGAGCATTACCTGGTTACGTTTGTCAGAAAGCCTCACTTTGTACGTGAGGTCCCCAGTCTTTTCTGTCACAATCTAGGGGCCTTCGTACTTGTGGGACATAGTGTTCCCTAGTCGAGGCTTTAATACCAGGACAGGGTCGCCAGGCTGAAATACCCGTAACTTAGCCGTAGCATCGTTTCGGTCTTTCATCTTTTCTTGGGCCTTCCCAAGATACTTTAGTGCAGCCGCCTTGCAGTCCTTGAGTCTTTGGTGGTGTTGCGCAAAGAAAGCCGAACCTTCGGTTAACGTTACGTTCCCTAACAGATTCTCCTGTAACATTTGCAAGGGTCCTCGCACTTTATGGTCAAAGACTAACTCAAAAGGAGAACAACCCAGTGAACTTTGTAATCCCTCCTAGCCGCAAACAAAACATACGGTAAATTCTCGTCCCAGAAGGTGTGGGAACTCTCGCACGATGTCTTCAACATCTGCTTCAGAGTTAGATGGAAACGTTCAATTACCCCCTGACTCTGTGGATGGTGTGGGCTGGAAACCTTATGAGTTATTTCATGGTCCTTACAAAATTGCTAAAAAATATCAGACTTAGAGTTAGTACCATTGTCAGTTTGCACGACCCGAGGCAGTCCAAAAGTGTGAAAAAAATTGCAACATACGAGCAACAACAGTTTTTGCTCGGATGTTCCTTAAAGCAAAAGCCTCTGGGTAACGAGTAGTGATACACATCATCGTGATTAGGTAAATATTACCAGACTTAGTTCTAGGTAATGGTCCAACACAGTCCATTACCACATGAGAAAATGGTTCCTCTGGCACAACAATAGGCCTTAGAGGAGCTTTAGGTGGAGTCTGGTTTGGTTTCCCAACCAGTTGACAAACAATACACGCATTACAAAATTTTGCCACATCGCTTTTCAGCTTGGGCCAGAAAAAATACTTTAAAATTTTGTGATACGTAATATTAATACCTTGATGTCCCCCCATAGGATCATCATGAGCAGCTGCCAAAACTCTTTCTCTATAGCAGGTCGGCAACATAACCTGGTGGACTACCTCCCACTCATTTGACAAGGGAGCACTCTGTGGTCTCCATTTTCTCATCAAAATCCGATCATTGTAGTAGTACCCAGTTGCTGCGTCTACAATTTCCTCCATAGAGACGGCTGTCTCATGACAATCTGCAAGAGTGGGGTCAGCTTTCTGTAACTCACTCAAGGAGGCATCTAGGCCTTGGTCAGATGCCATTGGCCGAGGCTCAACAGTGTTCTCCTCCACCTCCCCACTACTCTCGGTAGATGGCGGTGGCAGGCTCTCCACAATGTCCTCGGCCATGTCATCGAGTCGGGCCATGAATGTGTCCACGAGGTCCACTTGGTTTTCACCACTCAGAAAGTTCCTCGAGTCCTCGGGATTTACCACCTTGGCAAGCACAGGGCTGCCCTTACATTTAAGTCCCATAGACCTGGTCACCGCGCACGCAGGGTTCACAACATTATCCTCTGCGGCGGGTGGATCCAGGCAAACCTTAGGGGTATGCAACATAATAGGCAGTCTGGAGTCCCCTACCTTATCTCCTGCTAAATCATTACCAACTATTACATCAACATTAGGGAAAGGTAGGTATGAAGTGACTCCGACTGTACAAACACCCTTGTGGAAATCAGATTCCAGTGTAACCTTATGGAGGGGTACTGCTCGAGTATCACTAGTGACACCCTCGACCAGTACCACCTCTCCAGTGTCGAGAGTGTTGGCACC